ATTCGTTCATTCAAGCTTATTCTAACTTTACTACTTCAACCCAAATCTTATCTACTATATTCGCCCTACACCTCCCATCACCTACCCTCATGTACAACCTTTCTTATTCTCTCTCTTTCCTTCTCTCTTATTATTTCAGACATACAATCACTCAATGACTTACACCCTCCACTCTATATTATAAGACTGTTAACTTTCTTATACTTTCTTATATGGTATTTTATATTCTACATTCTTATTTCTACTTTGCTTCTATCCATTAGTTATTGCCTCTGCTACTTGCTACCCTGTCATACTTGTCTTACTTCCTTAATATTTACAATTTATAGATCACTATTCCAGCATTCTATTCTAGCATTTTGTATAACTCCTTTTTCTTAGCTGAATCTCTCCTCACTTTTTGAAGAGCCTCAGTGAAGTACTACAGGCTACAGGCAGTTCAACTGACATCCATAAATATGGATGTGCAGGCCTAGTTTCATTTATCTAGGCTTTATGTTCTTGATGCTGTAATGGAGACAGATTAACACATGTACAAGTGTTAGTATTCTAGATGGACAAATAGAAATCTTCAAATCTTAATTGCCTATTTTGTCATTTTATAGAAGGAATTGCGAGAGTTGGAAGATATGCTTAAAGTGGTCTGTAGAAAGTTCAAAATGTATTTGTACAGTTAACCTATAATGGTTGCTTCATTTCACTAATGAGCATTGTTAGTTTTCAATAAAAAGTTTCCTTAAATATGTTGAATTGCTCTTCATTTTTGTGGTATAGGAATCTCTCTCTATTCTTTGTATATTATATCACCTCTAGTACCAAATTTTCTGTTGAAGAAGTAATGCCCAGGATCCCATCTACTTTGTGAACTGAGGCATACCTGTAATAAAATCTTCTCTCCCTCCTCCCCCGCCCCCTGCCAGTATCCACCCTCATTTATAACTCACCTCTTTGATTTCTTGAAGTAGTTTAACAGCATGGGAATAATCTGGTGGCATTTTGGAAAGCTGTTCTCTCAGATTGTCCCAAAAGGCTTTGTGCAATGTCTCTTTGACTCTCTTTTCCAAACTATAATAAATAAAAGCAGCTGCTGTTAACATTTTTCCACCCACAGTTGGAATATATAGATACAGAATAACCCATAGTAGGCCCTTAGGTATTTCCTCTCTGAAGCTATTAACATCTTCCTTGAATCTGAAATGCAGGTGTTGTACAACCATTGCAATAATACCTGGGACAATTACACGTATGACTCAGTGGTTTCTTTCCCCATATTTCACATTTGTCCTTCAAAACAAAAGAGTGGAAACAAAGCCATCCGTGGCACTTCTGCTGCAGTGGTAAGACTTATCACATGTGTCAGGGCCTTCTCAGGGAACTCCTTTCCATCATAGATTCAGGTTGTTTGTTTGCACTGTTCTTATTGTATTTTATCATATATTTGTAATTTAATGGTTTAAAATAAATATTATTTGTTATTTTAATCTTTTCATTATTATTATTTTTTGCACTCATATCCCACCTTTTTCCCAAAATGGGATCCGAGGCAGCTTACAATAGTTTAAAAACCAATTAACAGCTAAAACTTTGATTACAAAAGTTAAAAGATAATTCAATAACAGTATTATCAGAAACATGGTTAAAGCAATTAAAACACTTAAAATGTATTTATAATATAGGATTCAAGATTATAAAAACACAACACATCATATTACACACACTACAATTCCAAACTTCAAAAGACCTGACTAAATGAGAACATCTTCACGTTCTGACAGGTGGGGAGGTGGGGGTGGCAACCAGCCCTCCAGGGGAAAGGAGTTCCACAGCCAAGGAGCAACCACAGAGAAAGCTCTCTCATGAGCCCTCATCAGCCGAGCTTGTGAAGGTGGTGTGACTGTAAGAAAGCCTTTCCTTGCAGATCTTGACACACTTGCTAGCGTGTAAGGATACAGTCTTTCAAGGTAGTCAGGGCCCAAGCTGCGTAGTGTTAAAGGTTAAAACCAGCACTGAATTCTATCTGGAAACGAACAAGTAGCCAATGTAGCTGTTTCAATTGTGTGTGGGGGGGTGCAGTTTCCACAAGTTCCCTATACCCAGCATTGGTCAAGAGAAATAAATCTAGATTGTTAGCTACTCTGGATTCCTATGAGGAAGAGTATGATATAAATAATGACCACTGAGGACCTTCACAAGTTCATGACAATGAAGATATAGAAATAGTAAAAGAATTCCCATACCTGGCATCAAACATTGATAGA